ATAAAAAGCCTTCTGTTTCGACCACCAAAACTTTCAGGGGAGCATTTGCAACTGTTTGGCACCATTTTTGAGTGAACTGCCAAAAGTCAGATTTTTGCTGAAATTGTGACCCCGGGGCTTAGCGATTTTTTCAAAAAAATCTTTTTCTGCCGGTTAGGTTGTTGAGGGCTGATTTCTTGTCCTGTGATAAAAACCTTCTGTTTCGACTGCCAAACCTTTCAGAGGAGCATTTGCATCCTTTTGGCACCATTTTTGAGTGAACTGCCAAAAGTCAGATTTTTCCTGAAATTGTGACGCCGGGGCTTAGCGATTTTTTCAAAAAAATCTTTTTCTTCCGGTTAAGTTTTTGAGGGCTGATTTCTTGTCCTGTGATAAAAAGCCTTCTGTTTCGACCACCAAAACTTTCAGGGGAGCATTTGCAACTGTTTGGCACCATTTTTGAGTGAATTGCCAAAAGTCAGATTTTTGCTGAAATTGTGACCTCGGGGCTTAGGGATTTTTTCAAAAAAATCTTTTTCTGCCGGTTAAGTTTTTGAGGGCTGATTTCTTGTCCTATGATAAAAAGACTTCTATTTAGACCGCCAAACCTTTCAGGGGAGCATTTCCAACTGTTTGGCACCATTTTTAGTGAATTGCCAAAAGTCAGATTTTTCTGAAATTGTGACCCGGGGCTTAGGCATTTTTTCAAAAAATCTTTTCTGTCAGTTAAGTTGTTGAGGGCTGATTTCTTGTCCTGTGATAAAAAGCCTTCTGTTTCGACCACCAAAACTTTCAGGGGAGCATTTGCAACCTTTTGGCACCATTTTTGTGTGAACTGCCAAAAGTCAGATTTTTCCTGAAATGGTGACCCCGGGACTTAGTGATTTTTTCAAAAAAATCTTTTTCTGCCGGTTAAGTTTTTGCGGGCTGATTTCTTGTCCTGTGATAAAAAGCCTTCTGTTTCGACCACCAAAACTTTCCGGGAGCATTTGCAACTGTTTGGCACCATTTTTGAGTGAATTGCCAAAAGTCAGATTTTTCCTGAAATTGTGACCCAGGGCTTACGAATTTTTTCAAAAAAATCTTTTTCTGCCGGTAAAGTTGTGGGGGCGTATTTCTTGTCCTGTGATAAAACGCCTTCTGTTTCGACGGCCAAGATATTCAGGGGAGCTTTTGCCACCTTTTGGCACCATTTTTGAGTGAACTGCCAAAAGTCAGATTTTTCCTGAAATTGTGACCCCGGGGCTTAGCGATATTTTCAAAAAATCTTTTCTGCCGGTTAAGTTTTTGAGGGCTGATTTCTTGTCCTGTGATAAAAAGCCTTCTGTTTCGACCACCAAACCTTTCAGGGGAGCATTTGCAACCTTTTGGCACCATTTTTGAGTGAACTGCGAAAAGTCAGATTTTTACTGAAATTGTGACCAAGGGGCTTAGGCATTTTTTTCAAAAAATCTTTTCTGCCGGTTTAGTTGTGAGGGCTGATTTCTTGTCCTGTGATAAAACGCCTTCTGTTTCGACCGCCAAACCTTTCAGGGGAGCATTTGCAACCTTTTGGCACCATTTTGGAGTAAATTGCCAAAAGTCAGATTTTTTCTGAAAGTGTGACCCCGGGGCTTAGGCATTTTTTCAAAAAAATCTTTTTCTACCGGTTAAGTTGTTGAGGGCTGATTTCTTGTCCTGTGATAAAACGCCTTCTGTTTAGACCGCCAAAACGTTCAGGGTAGCATTTGCAACCTTTTGGCACCATTTTTGAGTGATCTGCCAAAAGTCAGATTTTTACGGAAATTGTGACCCCGGGGCTTAGGCAATTTTTCAAAAAATCTTTTTCTGCCGGTTAAGTCCTTGAGGGCTGATTTCTTGTCCTGTGATAAAACGCCTTCTGTTTCGACCGCCAAAACTTTCAGGGGAGCATTTGCAACCTTTTTGCACCATTTTTGAGTGAACTTCCAAAAGTCAGATTTTTAATGAAATTGTGACACCGGTGCTTAGGGATTTTTTAAAAAAAAAATATTCTGCCGGTTAAGTTGTTGAGGGCTGATTTCTTGTCCTGTGATAAAAACCTTCTGTTTCGACTGCCAAACCTTTCAGGGGAGCATTTGCAACCTTTTGGCACCATTTTTGAGTGATCTGCCAAAAGTCAGATTTTTGCTGAGATTGTGACCCCGGGGCTTAGGCATTTTTTCAAAAAATCTTTTTCTGCCGGTTAAGTTGTGGGGGGGCGGATTTCTTGTCCTGTGATAAAACGCCTTCTGTTTCGACCGCCAAACGTTTCAGTGGAGCATTTGCAACCTTTTGGCACCATTTTTGAGTGAACTGCCAAAAGTCAGATTTTTACTGAAATTGTGATCCCGGGGCTTAGGGATTTTTTCAAAAACATCTTTTTCTGCCGGTTAAGTTGTTGAGGGCTGATTTCTTGTCCTGTGATAAAAACCTTCTGTTTCGACTGCCAAACCTTTCAGGGGAGCATTTGCAACCTTTTGGCACCATTTTTGAGTGATCTGCCAAAAGTCAGATTTTTGCTGAGATGGTGACCCCGGGGCTTAGGGATTTTTTCAAAAAAAAAATTTCTGCCGGTTAAGTCCTTGAGGGCTGATTTCTTGTCCTGTGATAATAAGCCTTGTGTTTCGACCGCCAAACCTTTCAGGGGACCATTTGCAACCTTTTGGCATCATTTTTGAGTGATCTGCCAAAAGTCAGTTTTTTCCTGAAATTGTGACCCCGGGGCTTAGGGAATTTTTCAAAAAAATCTTTTTCTGCCGGTTAAGTTGTTGAGGGCTGATTTCTTGTCCTGTGATAAAAAGCCGTTTGTTTCGACCGCCAAAACTTTCAGGGGAGCATTTGCAACCTTTTGGCACCATTTTTGAGTGATCTGCCAAAAGTCAGATTTTTGCTGAGATTGTGACCCCCGGGCTTAGGGATTTTTCAAAAAAAAAATTCTGCCAGTTAAGTCCTTGAGGGCTGATTTCTTGTCCTATGATAAAAGACTTCTGTTTAGACCGCCAAACCTTTCAGGGAGCATTTGCAACTGTTTGGCACCATTTTTGAGTGAATTGCCAAAACTCAGATTTTTACGGAAATTGTGAACCCGGGGCTTAGGTATTTTTTCAAAAAATCTTTTTCTGCCGGTTAAGTCGTTGAGGGCTGATTTCTTGTCCTGTGATAAAACGCCTTCTGATTCGACCGCCAAAACTTTCAGGGGAGCATTTGCAACCTTTTGGCACCATTTTTGAGTCAAATGCCAAAAGTCAGATTTTTACTGAAATTGTGACCCCGGGGCTTACGGATTTTTTCAAAATAATCTTTTACTGCCGGTTAAGTCGTTGAGGGCTGATTTCTTGTCCTATGATAAAAAGACTTCTGTTTAGACCGCCAAACCTTTCAGGGGAGCATTTCCAACTGTTTGGCACCATTTTTGAGTGAATTGCCAAAAGTCAGATTTTTCTGAAATTGTGACCCGGGGCTTAGGCATTTTTCAAAAAATCTTTTTCTGCCGGTTAAGTTTTTGAGGGCTGATTTCTTGTCCTGTGATAAAAACCTTCTGTTTCGACTGCCAAATCTTTCAGGGGAGCATTTTCAACCTTTAGGCACCATTTTTGAGTGATCTGCCAAAAGTCAGATTTTTGCTGAGATTGTGACCCCGGGGCTTAGGGATTTTTTCAAAAAAAAAAATTCTGCCAGTTAAGTCCTTGAGGGCTGATTTCTTGTCCTATGATAAAAAGACTTCTGTTTAGACCGCCAAACCTTTCAGGGGAGCATTTCCAACTGTTTGGCACCATTTTTGAGTGAATTGCCAAAACTCAGATTTTTACGGAAATTGTGACCCCGGGGCTTAGGAATTTTTTCAAAAAAAATCTTTTCTGCCGTTTAAGTTGTTGAGGGCTGATTTCTTGTCCTGTGATAAAAAGACTTCTGTTTATGCCGCCAAACCTTTCAGGGGAGCATTTGCAACCGTTTGGGACCATTTTTGAGTGAATTGCCAAAACTCAGATTTTTCTGAAATTGTGACTTGTGCTTAGGTATTTTTTCAAAAAATCTTTTTCTTCCGGTTAAGTTGTTGAGGGCTGATTTCTTATCCTGTGATAAAAGACTTCTGTTTCGACCGCAAAACCTTTCAGGGGACCATTTGCAACCTTTTGGCACCATTTTTGAGTGAACTGCCAAAAGTCAGATTTTTGCTGAAATTGTGACCCCGGGGCTTAGGGATTTTTTCAAAAAAATCTTTTTCTGCCGGTTAAGTTTTTGAGGGCTGATTTCTTGTCCTGTGATAAAACGCCTTCTGATTCGACCGCCAAAATTTTCAGGGGAGCATTTGCAACCTTTTGGCACCATTTTTGAGTGAACTGCCAAAAGTCAGATTTTTACTGAAATTGTGACCCCGGGGCTTAGGGATTTTTTCAAAAAAATATTTTTCTGCCGGTTAAGTTGTGGGGGGCGGATTTCTTGTCCTGTGATAAAACGCCTTCTGTTTCGACCGCCAAACCTTTCAGGGGAGCATTTGCAACCTTTTGGCACCATTTTTGAGTGAAATGCCAAAAGTCAGATTTTTTCTGAAATTGTGACCCCGGGGCTTAGGCATTTTTTCAAAAACATCTTTTTCTGCCGGTTAAGTTGTTGAGGGCTGATTTCTTGTCCTGTGATAAAAAGCCTTCTGTTTCGACCGCCAAACCTTTCAGGGGAGCATTTGAAACCTTTTGGCACCATTTTTGAGTGAATTGCCAAAAGTCAGATTTTTACTGAAATTGAGACCACGGGGCTTAGGCATTTTTTTCAAAAAAATCTTTTTCTGCCGGTTAAGTTGTGGGGGGCGGATTTCTTGTCCTGTGATAAAACGCCTTCTGTTTCGACCGCCAAAACTTTCAGGGGAGCATTTGCAACTGTTTGGCACCATTTAATAATAATAATTTATTACGGCCGTAGGCCCATACAGATAAAAACAAGACATAAATAACAGCCTGTGCACATGGGAAAAAAACAGCCGCTAAAACAATACTATAACAATAAGCTACTATAAGATGGAATGGCATACTACGCCTTAATTAGCTTGTGGTGCTCCTTGGCGACGCTTTTGGGTAAGGACAGCGACCAGGAACCTAGCCACTTTCAGGGTCGTATGGGCATCCTTATCCTGCAAGATTTGGGCAAGGTGGAATTTTGGTGGAGTACCCTCTAATTTCTGTATGATTGATCCCAACAAGTTTGCCCGTGGCACCTTAAATAAGGGGCAAGTGAACATAATGTGCTGAAGCGACTCCGGCATCTCCTTATCACATTCGCACATGGCGGAGGTTTGGCCCTTTGAGAATCTATGTCTCAGGACATTGGAGGAAAAACATTAAACCTCGCTTTGGTGAAGGCCAGCCTATGGGCAACAGTCGAAAGGGAGGAGAGGTATGATGGAACGCAATAAGTTAAAGTGATACCAATGTTCTGGGGCGAACAAACACCTCCCCCCAGCATATAATTTTGCTGTAAATCGATGTCATCCAGTCTTTGGCGGATCAGTCTTTGAGCAGTGATTTGATCTAGTTTTAGGGAATCTAAGGGAGAGATTCCATAGCTCAGGAGTTTGGCATGAATTCTACTGGTCCAAAGGCTGGGGAATTCATCTCGCCATAAGCATTGGGCAAGGTAATGGTCTGGTAATCTATGCCACAATGATAACCAATAATTGAAGACTTGCTTCCACAGGCAGGTTTCTAAGGATGCGATCCTCAATTCTAAACGCATGGCTGCGTTGCTTACGCACAGGGGAGCATTAGGAGCCGACGTAGGAATTGGTTTTGCAAAGTCTCAAGAGGAGCAAGGTCTGTCATCACGACCCAGAGCGGGGCAGCATAAGCAAGCACGGGAACCACTTTTGCCTTGAACACCTTTAGGGCCGAGGGAACATGCAAAGCTCCATCCGAAAAGAAAAATCGGAGGAGCGCATATGACAGAGTTTTGGCCTTATTAAGTAGGTGTTGAATATGTGCTTTCCACCCCAAATTGTATTGAAAAATAACTCCTAGGTATTGAAATTTTAGGACTTGCTCTATTTTTGCTCCACCAAGCTTCCATTCGTATAATCTCCGACTTCTGGCGAAAATCAGAATCTTAGATTTAGCATGATTGATGGTTAATTGGTTGAGTTGACAATACGTGGCAAAGATCTTCAGAGCTCTGGTTAGTCCAACACGTGTATAAGATAGAATTACCGCGTCGTCCGCATATAAAAGGAGTGGACAGCGGTAATCCGCTAGTCTAGGCGCATGTGTACTTGGAGATGAGTTGACTAGGGGTGCTCGCATGTCGCTGATGAATAGATTGAATAGGCAGGGGGCCAATATACATCCTTGGCGCACTCCCTTGTTTATTGGTATCGAATTTGTGAGGTCGCCCGCAGGAGTAAGTCTCACTCTGGCAAGGGTACCTTCGTGGAGCTGACTTATAAGCCATAAGAGCCTTCTATCGATGCCCTGTTTCGCAAGTTTCTCCCAAAGAATATTTCTAGGAACGCTGTCGAAGGCTGCCTTAAGATCTAAGAAGGCAGCACACAGATAGCCCCGGGGAGGGAGGAGTACTTCCGTGCCAGATGGTAAAGAACTATCGCATGATCAGTTGTAGAGCGTTTAATTCTGAACCCTGCTTGTTCGTGGCCAATCTGGTTAGTCTCATCTACCCATCGCGATAGTTTCGTCAGCAAAAAGCTGGCATAAATTTTCCCTATGATCGAAAGGAGGCTGATGTTACGGTAATTTTCCGGCTCCATTGGAGAACCTTTTTTATGAATTGGAACTATAATGGCCTCCTTCCATATTTTGGGGATGATACCAGAAGCGTTGATTGCGTCGAAGGTTTTGGCCAAGATGCCAGCCCACCATTTTGGGTGTAGTTTGATGGCTTCAGCAGGGATCAGGTCGGGCCCTGGGGCTTTGCCCAATTTCAGCTGGGCTATTAGCTTGGCTATTTCGTCAGGATCGGTGGGAGGCCAAATAGGTAGGTGGGAGAACAGATGCATCAGATGGTCGGAGGGAGCATCTGCCTGTGAGAAACATTTCTTCAGGAACAATTCCCATGTCGGTGCAGGGATGACTGCCCTTGGGTATTTCCTCACCCTTCTGTTAATCAGAGACCAGAATTCCCTGGATCTATGTGATTTTGAAGCAGTAATCAAGGCCTGCCAGCGATTATGTTGCCACTCACGTTTGGCAATTTTCTGCGTGCGTTTATAAACTTGCTTGGCTTGTGCATAACTAGCTGGCAGAGTAGATGCATCGGAGGTCTTATATACATTATATATAGCACGAAGGCGCTGTCTTGCTTGTTTGCACTGAGAGTTATACCAGGGGGCACCGTAAGTATACTCGTTTCGATTTAATATTTTGGGTGGTAACCTGAAGAAGGACGTAAGGTCCGTCGTATGATGGTGGAAGCGTTTCAACACTATGCTATGCTCATCTGAGGCAGAGCCTATGTAGGGATGGGGCCCGAGGATTTCTTTTGAAAGAATTCCTGATACCTTTGAGCCTGGGTCTCCGACCATTTGATTCCTCTTACTTGAAGAGATACGTTGGTTACCATCTGGGTCGCATGTCTATAGGTCTCCAACTGCCAATTCAGGGAAAGCTTGGCTACAAGGGGAAGATGATCACTAGATTGTACATTCTCGATCTTAAAGGAGGAAATACACTTAAGTAGATCACTGGAGACCAGCAGGTAATCGAGGACGCTGTTTGATTTAACACTCAGGTGAGTGAAATCCCCTGGAATATCAGGGAGGCATGTGCCATTTAGGGGGACCAGATTTAAACGGATGGCCATTTGGTAGAGGAATACTCCAGCCTCATTAACTCGTTGGTCTTTAGAAGTTCTCCTCATGATATGTTCCAGATCATAATTATCAAGGTTTGGGGTAACCCACCATTTGGCTTTGGTCAGCGAGTCCCAATTTGCTGCTGTGCGGGCATTAAAATCGCCACCTATTATGGCCGGGGTGTTAGGAAACTTGACATAGCATGAGAGCAAATGCTCTTCTAGCGAGCCCCATTTAGAGCCCAGTTCAGAGGAAGAACCCCGGGTGGCAAGTAAACATTTGTAACTAGAAGTGAGATCTTTTCCCCGCAATCAGCCCGGTAAGAGCGTAAGGAGGCAAGGCCTGTACTAGAGTAAATTTAGAATGTAAGTTGAGGGAGATGCCTATTATTAGGCCCCCTTTAGGGCGGCCTCCTTTCAGGGAGGGGCAGGCAGGGAGTTCTAGAAGCTCAAAGCCATTTAGATCAATTCTCTCTACTTCCCACGATTCTTGGAACAAGATGATATGAAACAGGTTAATATACTCCAAGAATTCTGGGTCAAGTTTTTCCCCCCTCCAGCCCGCAATGTTCCAACTGAGGACTGATAGGGGGGAGTTCCTGTTGTAACCAGTTCGTTGTCATTTCGGGGAGGGATGGGAGTCCTTTGGAGGGAAGGCAGACCCCACAAAAAGTCAGTTATTTTACTTTGCATAGCAGGCACCTGCTGAAGGTACCTAGTCTTGAAGTTGGTAGTGAGGTATTCTGACTGGGGCGACAAAACGGGTCTCCCACTGGCTAACCCAAGAGCGGACACTTCAGTGGGAAACTCCATAGGATTTGCTGGGACTGCCCCATCGCAAGGTCTAAAGATCGCCGATGAAACCATTTGGTTTATATGTCCGGTCGGGTCTTCAATCAAATCCGGGCCATTTTTTGATGTAGGTGGGACACCCCTGACCTAATGCTGGCAAAGGTACAGGGGATGTTCGGCGTACTGGTACCGTATGTATGTCGGGTCTATGCTGCTCAGGGGAGTATGAGGACTCCAGTTCCGGCATTGATGGATTAGATGGTAAGGAGTTGTTTTGGTGGAAGGAACTCTGGGTTACACTCCTCAGCGGGGGACTCTTGGAGGGCGAGTCAAAATTTATCAAGAGTTGGGATGAGGGGCCAGCTTGAGGGGCAAAACCTGGTTCTACCAAGCATCGGTGGGTTTTGCCCACGAGTAGGGAGGCATGGGTTTAGGAGCTGGACTAAGGTATGGAAGACTTCCTGCTCCCTTAAACCACGACTCCGAAAAGCTGGCGGAGTTATCCTGAAGAGTGGGCAGGACTTTTCCGTTCTTCTGGACGTGTATGAGCTGATGATTAAGTACTTCTAGTCTATCAATTATTTCTTGTTGTTCTCTCGGTGGAAGGTCGCCAAAAGTGGCTAAAAGCTCTCTTTCCTCCGGCGGGGTCAGAGAATTACTTGCGCCAGTGGGTTTCTTTAGAGCTCGTGGGGACGTAGGGTGAGTCCAGTTTCGGTGCGGATGGATATCCTCCAGAAGAGGAGGCTCGATGTCCCGAGGTACTCCCGACCTCTCCGACAGAGTCCACTCCGTACCGTGACCAGCAAGTAGGAGGGGGTGGATCATGCTATCCATAAAAACTCTTGTTGGGATGATATCGTACCTTGCCAAGAGTGGTTTCTGCCTGATGATAGCTGAAGGGATCCTTGGAGAGTAAAACGCAAGCATCACTTTCTGTTGCCCGAGGTGCTGGTTCAAAGGTAATACTGCAATGAGATCACATTGTGAGATTTCTATGTTTAGGAGATTGCTTAGGTGCTTTTTAACCCCACTCAGAGTAAGCCACCTTGGTGACCCTGCCCCGATGTTTAGGCAGATTTTCTTAGGTTGCAGGGACAATGCTTGATGTTTCAGTGCAGGATTTGGTTTATATTTAGGGATCACACTTCTTTTTTAGTAGAAGGCAAGGACCTCTGGCACTTCAATTCCCCCGTATCTACAGTTGGTTTGAACTTTGACCAGAAGTTATCCATTTTCTGTTCGAGGTTACATAGCTGGGAGGCTAGCACATCAATCTTCTTGAATATGCAATTAAGGGTTCTGACCACAAGATGGAGATGTTCATGTTGTTCTTGTCTTGCGCAGTCCTCAGTTCCAGCGTCCTGCACCACCCTCAATGGGACACTCCCTCTTCCTCCAAGCTTGCCGTCCACAGTTTTAGTCTGGGGAAAAAATAATTCCTCTGGTGTTGACGTTGTTTCTGGAGACATTAGAGGGTAGAAACGGTTCTGAGTTTTCACCCTATAGCAGAGTTCAATGGGGTCACTCCGTTTGTCAGACACGGGGGGATCGATTTTTAATTGTTTGGCTCTTGGGGAGGGCAGAGTCTCGTCACAATCCCTTAGGCGTTTGCCTTGGCCCATCATTATGAGTCTTTTAAAATAGCAGTGCTTAAAAGATAATAAAAGGTAGTAGAAGTAAAAATACAGCTGGATGTGAGCTAGCAGAAAACCAGTAAGTCGAAGGCTGCTTCCAAGGCTGCCGGAGACTGCAATTATCTGCTCATTAAAGCTGATTTACGATGCGGGCTTTACAGTTCTTAGCAATGTGAACTCCTGGCATGGGCTCCAACAACCTGATACAATCTTCATCAAAAACTTGAAAGGCTGGGAGCCGCAGCACAAATTTTAGGGAGGATTCGAAATGAACTCCGGCAAATGCGTCTTACCTCGTCCAGCCTCGAGAGGAAGAGACGCCGCTTCCGAATTAGAACAATAAAACAATGAGATAAAACAATAAATTAAAACAACAAAACGAAGCACTAAAAGGAGTTAAGAAGTAAAATAGAAGATAAAAATAAATGCCTTAGAGCAGAAACTTGCTTTAGAGTTGGCCTTAGAGCTCAAAACCCTGCTTCAAGCATTCGGCAGCCATCTTGAAATCCTTTTCCGACTTGGAAACTGTTTGGCACCATTTTCGAGTGAATTGCCAAAAGTCAGATTTTTTCGGATATTGTGACCCCGGGGCTTAGGCATTTTTTCAAAAAAATCTTTCTCTGCCGGTTAAGTTGTTGAGGGCTGATTTCTTGTCCTGTGATGAAAAGACTTCTGTTTCGACCGCCAAACGTTTCAGGGGAGCATTTCCAACTGTTTGGCACCATTTTCGAGTGAATTGCCAAAAGTCAGATTTTTTCGGAAATTGTGACCCCGGGGCTTAGGCATTTTTTCAAAAAAATCTTTCTCTGCCGGTTAAGTTGTTGAGGGCTGATTTCTTGTCCTGTGATGAAAAGCATTCTGTTTCGACCGCCAAACCTTTCAGGGGAGCATTTCCAACTGTTTGGCACCATTTGTGAGTGAATTGCCAAAAGTCAGATTTTTACTGAAATTGTGACCACGGGGCTTAGGCATTTTTTTCAAAAAAATATTTTTCTGCGGGTTAAGTTGTGGGGGGCGGATTTCTTGTCCTGTGATAAAACGCCTTCTGTTTCGACCGCCAAGATTTTCAGAGGAGCATTTGCATCCTTTTGGCACCATTTTTGAGTGAACTGCCAAAAGTCAGATTTTTCCTGAAATTGTGACCGCTGGGGCTTAGCGATTTTTTCAAAAAAATCTTTTTCTTCCGGTTAAGTTTTTGCGGGCTGATCTCTTGTCATGTGATAAAAGGCCTTCTGTTTCGACCGCTAAACTTTCAGGGGAGCATTTGCAACCTTTTGGCACCATTTTTGAGTGAACTGCCAAAAGTCAGATTTTTCCTGAAATTGTGACCCCGGGGCTTAGGGATTTTTTCAAAAAAATCTTTTTCTGCCGATTAAGTCCTTGAGGGCTGATTTCTTGTCCTGTGATAAAACGCCTTCTGTTTCGACCGCCAAAATTTTCAGGGGAGCATTTGCAACCTTTTGGCACCATTTTTGAGTGAACTGCCAAAAGTCAGATTTTTCCTGAAATTGTGACCCCGGGGCTTACGGATTTTTTCAAAAAAATCTTTTTCTGCCGGTTAAGTCGTTGAGGGCTGATTTCTTGTCCCATGATAAAAAGACTTCTGTTTAGACCGCTAAAACTTTCAGGGGAGCATTTCCAACTGTTTGGCACCATTTTGGAGTAAATTGCCAAAAGTCAGATTTTTTCTGAAATTGTGACCCCGGGGCTTAGGCATTTTTTCAAAAAATCTTTTCTGCCGGTTAAGTTGTTGAGGGCTGATTTCTTGCCCTGTGATAAAAAGCCTTCTGTTACGACCGCAAAACCTTTCAGGGGAGCAGTTGCAACCTTTTGGCACCAATTTTGAGTGAACTGCCAAAAGTCAGAATTATTCTGAAATTGTGACCCCGGGCTTAGGGATTTTTCAAATAAATCTTTTTCTGCCGGTTAAGTCATTGAGGGCTGATTTCTTGTCCTGTGATAAAACGCCTTCTGTTTCGACCACCAAACCTTTCAGGGGAGCATTTGCAACCTTTTGGCACCATTTTTGAGTGAATTGCCAAAAGTCAGATTTTAGCTGAAATTGTGACCCCGGGGCTTAGGGATTTTTTCAAAAAATCTTTTCTGCCAGTTAAGTTTTTGAGGGCTGATTTCTTGTCCTATGATAAAAAAGACTTCTGTTTCGACCGCCAAACCTTTCAGGGGAGCATTTCCAACTGTTTGGCACCATTTTCGAGTGAATTGCCAAAAGTCAGATTTTTTCTGAAATTGTGACCCCGGGGCTTAGGCATTTTTTTCAAAAAAATCTTTTTCTGCCGGTAAAGATGTGGGGGGCGGATTTCTTGTCCTGTGATAAAACGCCTTCTGTTTCGACCGCCAAGATTTTCAGGGGAGCGTTTGCAACCTTTTGGAACCATTTTTGTGCGAACTGCAAAAGTCAGATTTTTCCTGAAATTGTGACCCCGGGGCTTAGCGATTATTTCAAAAAAATCTTTTTCTGCCGGTTAAGTTTTTGCGGGCTGATTTCTTGTCCTGTGATAAAAAGCCTTCTGTTTCGACCACCAAAACTTTCAGGGAAGCATTTGCAACTGTTTGGCACCATTTTTGAGTGAATTGTCAAAAGTCAGATTTTTTCTGAAATTGTGAGCCCGGAGCTTAGCCATTTTTTTCAAAAAAATCTTTTTCTGCCGGTAAAGATGTGGGGGGCTGATTTCTTGTCCTGTGATAAAACGCCTTCTGTTTCGACCGCCAAATTTTTTCAGGGGAGCATTTGCAACCTTTTGGCACCATTTTTGAGTGAACTGCCAAAAGTCAGATTTTTCCTGAAATTGTGACCCCGCAGCTTAGGCATTTTTTCAAAAAAAATCTTTTTCTGCCGGTTAAGTTGTTGAGAGCTGATTTCTTGTCCTGTGATAAAAGACTTCTTTTTATACCGCCTTACCTTTCTGGGGATCATTTGCATCCGTTTGGGAACATTTTTGAGTGAAATGCCAAGACTCAGATTTTTACTGAAATTGTGACCCCGGGGCTTAGGGATTTTTTCAAAAAAAAAATTTCTGGCGGTTAAGTCGTTGAGGGCTGATTTCTTGTCCTATGATAAAAAGACTTCTGTTTCGACCACCAAACCTTTCAGGGGAGCATTTCCAACTGTTTGGCACCATTTTCGAGTGAATTGCCAAAAGTCAGATTTTTTTCTGAAATTGTGACCCCGGGGCTTAGGCATTTTTTCAAAAAAATCTTTCTCTGCCGGTTAAGTTTTTGAGGGCTGATTTCTTGTCCTGTGATGAAAAGCATTCTGTTTCGACGGCCAAATCTTTCAGGGGAGCATTTGCAACCTTTTGGCACCATTTTTGAGTGAATTGCCAAAAGTCAGATTTTTCCTGAAATTGTGACCACGGGGCTTAGGGATTTTTTCAAAAAAATCTTTTTCTGCCGGTCAAGTTGTGGGGGCGGATTTCTTGTCCTGTGATAAAACGCCTTCTGTTTCGACCGCCAAGACTTTTCAGAGGAGCATTTGCATCCTTTGGCACCATTTTTGAGTGAACTGCCAAAAGTCAGATTTTTCGCTGAAATTGTGACCTCGGGCTTAGCGATTTTTTCAAAAAATCTTTTCTTCCGGTTAAGTTGTTGAGGGCTGATGTCTTGTCATGTGATAAAAGGCCTCTGTTTCGACCGTTAAACCTTTCAGGGGAGCATTTGCAACCTTTGGCACCATTTTTGAGTGAACTGCCAAAAGTCAGATTTTTCCTGAAATTGTGACCCGGGCTTAGGGATTTTTTCAAAAAATCCTTTTCTGCCGGTTAAGTTTTTGAGGGCTGATTTCTTTTCCTGTGTTAAAAAGCATTCTGTTTCGACCGCAAAACTTTCAGGGGAGCATTTGCAACCTTTTGGCACCATTTTTGAGTGAATTGCCAAAAGTCAGATTTTTACTGAAATTGTGACCTCGGGCTTAGGGATTTTTTCAAAAAATTTCTGCCGGTTCAGTCGTTGAGGGCTGATTTCTTGTCCTGTGATAAAACGCCTTCTGTTTCGAACGCCAAATCTTTCAGGGGAGCATTTGCAACCTTTTGGCACCATTTTTGATTGATCTGCCAAAAGTCAAATTTTTTCCTGAAATTGTGACCCCGGGGCTTAGGGATTTTTTCAAAAAATCTTTTCTGCCAGTTAAGTCCTTGAGGGCTGATTTCTTGTCCTATGATAAAAGACTTCTGTTTAGACCGCGAAACCTTTCAGGGGAGCATTTGCAACTGTTTGGCACCATTTTTGAGTGAATTGCCAAAACTCAGATTTTTACTGAAATTGTGACCTCGGGCTTAGGCATTTTTTCAAAAAATCTTTTCTGCCGGTTAAGT